ACACACACACACACAGACACATGAGAGAAAAGGAAAAGAGAATATCATCCGGATTATATTTAGTGTTAGACATATTTTGGTTTAAAACGTATAATGAATTGAGATAAACCGATTTGTCCAAACCCCTACCCCAAAAGTCTACACTGAAAAAGAATAGAAATGAGGAGGACGATTGCTACAATGTACTATACAAAAAGCAAGCATAGCTTAAATGGTATGGAACTAGCATAAAAACCATTAACAGAACTCAAAAAATACAAAAACAGACTAAATCATATCTTAAAATATTACACGTAATAACATAAGCTTTTCAAAGCAAGAGGGAAAAGAGAATTAATAAATGGTACTGGAATTATTGAACAGCATATGGGAAATGCTATCTTGGAGGGTTATCACATGGACTAACTAAGATAACATGTATAAAGTACCTATCCTAGATAGTATGTGGCACACCATACTAAAATAAATTCCAGGTGGCTTAAAGAGTAACATTTAAAAAAATTAAATTAGGGCCAACCTGTGGCTCACTCGGGAGAGTGTGGTACTGATAACACCAAGGCCACGGGTTCAGATCCTATGTAGGGATGTCCGGTTAGCTCACTGGCTGAGCATGGTGCTGACAACAACAAGCCAAGGGTTGAGATCCCCTTACTGGTCATCTTTTAAAAAAAAAATTAAAATTAAAAAATTAAATTACTCAAAGGTAAGTTGATCCTGACCAACATCAAAGAGACTCGTTACAAGTAACAGTGCTTGTTGTGTCTCTCCACATAAAATATAAATACTAGGAGTTGCACAACAGTCTTTTAAACAATTTTGCCAACAGTTTAACATTTCAACTTTCATTTATGTAAAATCTTAAATTTACAAAAACTATTGTCAAGAAAACTTCTTAAATTTACAGTGATACCTATATGTATAGATGTTAGAATGCTAAAATTAAGGGCAGTATTTATTGACGGCAAAGGTGGTTTGTAAGGATGGTCAGTAAGAAAATTCTCTCTTCTAGGATTAGACTATCTAATAACCCTACTGCAGCCTCAACAGCAAGTGCTGTAGTTTCAATGAATAGTTACTCAAAAGACACAATGGATAAACAGCATTCTAGACTAAGTCACAGCTTACAGTTTTTTATGTCTACTTTGCCACAATATAATAGAAAATTACTCAATAGGCAGACAAGCATCATGACAGCATAGAAAGGCAGTAGAAAGTAGCTAAAAGACAGTCTTCAGAGTCAAATAGACTATATTCAACAAATAGACTATGTTCAAATTCTAACTGCGCCACTTAGAAATTTGCCATAGACAAATTAGGTGAACTCTCTGAGACATGTTTCTGCGCCTATAAAAAGCAGCTGATAACCAGCCAATGTACCTGTTTTGATTGGTTAAACATCTTTTTTTTTTTTAAAAATGACCGGTAAGGGGATCTTAACCCTTGACTTGGTGTTGTCAGCACCATGCTCATCCAGTGAGCAAACCGGCCATCCCTATATAGGATCCGAACCCGTTGCCTTGGCATTATCAGCACCGCACTCTCCCGAGTGAGCCACAGGCTGGCCCGGTTAAACATCTTTTGATCAGCAGGTACCCATGCCATACTGGTGTTATTAAATATTTTTAATATTATTTCTAGCTCTTGACACATAGTAAACTCTCAATAAATGATAGTTATTATTATTATTCCTAAAATTCCAAAATACAATATAAGCAAAAGAATAAAGTTTTATTACCAAACATAATTACACATCTCTACTACACATTAACAATTAGCTACACATAAGTTACTGAAAATGGTCAAATAATTTCTTAATTTTGAGACCTCTGAGAATGAAAAAGCCCCCAAACTGAAAAGTTCTGCTTATAATCCTTGGCTATTAAAAAAAAAAAAGAAAAGACAGGGAGATGAACTAAGTATCTTCTATGTTCCTTAGCCTGGTGAAATATATAGGCCTGTGCATTCTATACCAATGTGGCTATTCCCAAGTGTCCCGGAAAAAAAAATTAAACTACTTTTTTCTAATTGTCCTGAAATATTACTCATAAAAAGGAGGTTCTTAAAAAATCACCTTTTTTCTTTCAGAAGGTATGATGCTTTCAGATAAAAAAGGGAAGGTAGCTGAAGAGTTTCGAAAATCTAGGGCTCGCTGTAGTTGGTCCTATAAACAGAAACATAAAATGTAATCTTAAAAAATGTAAAATGGTTTAGAAATCAATTTAGAATGACAGTAATCCAGAATATTAATTACTTTTCAAATTCTAGCCCACCTTGACAATATTTTGGTGTTAAAAAGAGTAGTTTTTTGTGACATATAAGAGTACTTCAAAAAGTCTGTGGAAAAATAGAATTAAAAGATAATATGAAACTTTCCACGAACTTTTTGAAGTGCCCTGGTATTTACTTACTCGGTAAGTGCTAATAACAAAGTGTGTCCTTTGACGAATTCTTTCTGATTGTTCTAAAGGATGTGCTGAAGCAGGAGGTGACTTTTCAAATAAAAATTCAGAGCCACAGGGGGAAAGCTGCAATTTGGAACCATCAACATACTGTACTTGCACCGAATCATCTTCATAAAGTACCATTCGCAGTTCAGCAGCCATTACTATGACAGGATAAGGTGTCCTTCCCAGGTGAAGACTAAAGAAAATAGGAAACATGATAGCACAAATAGTTCTCTTAATATACAAAAGTTCTATCAAAATAAATGGATGCATTTTCTAAGAACATAAACAAAATACATTGCCGTTGCATTTACGTTTGCTGGAGGAAAAGTGATCTTAGTACATACGTTTAAATAATCTGAAGTTAACGTCCTTAACAACATGCTTTTATTAACCCTTAGGGCTTTACTCTAATATAGGAACTGACTTAGAAGGAGACAATAGCCCACAAAGTTATAACTGTCTTTATAATTTCAGTAACTTTACTTCTGAAGTTTAATTTCTGTAAATTATCCACTCAATATCTCATTTTAAATAACAAGCAAATTCTACCTTTGCAATAAGAATGCAGTAGATGATTTGTAATACATGGAAAAGGCAAGCCAAAAGTAACTACTAGGCCTAAGGCAGTAAAAAAAAAAACCACTGAAAAAGAAATCCAAATACCTAGATTTTGTCCCTAGCCTGGCATTAACGAAATAGCTCCATGTCACCACTGAGCAAGTAAAGTTATCTCCTAGTATCTTAGATTTATCCTCATTTCACTGAATTCGATTTCCTTTCTTCCACCTCTGAAATGACTATCTTCCCCTTGCTCTCCATATAGGTGTGACAGAAGGGGAATTAGAGAGGTGAGTTTCATTCACACCATTTACTAGCTATAAGCCTCATGTTATTTCTTCATGTGTAAAATAGGGGTAGTAACAGGATTGTTGTGAGGATTAAATGAGAAAACACATATGACCATGCCTAGCATTGTGAATAACATTCTTGCAGGAGCTCAATGAATCTTATGAAATGTTTTTATTCCTTTCTAACACTAATCATTTCCCCTTCTGCACTATCCCTTCCTACACTAATCAGGTGATCAAGTTTCACCTGTCAGAAAAAAGATAACTTTCCATAGATAATTTCCCGTTTACCCCCTATTTCCTACCAATAAACCTCTCAAGTGTAGTATCCACTCATTGCCCATGTTCTTTTCTATCAATCTTCAATCCATTGCAATGCAGCAATTCTCCTCGACTTCTCTACTGACACTGTTTCACAATGGTCACCAATGTCTCACACTCACTAACTTCAGTTTTCATCCTACTAAATCTGGTCAATCTGTGACAGAACTGTCTACTTTCCTTCCCATGCACAAAACTCTCTCTTCCTCTGCCTTCCCCCATCTCCCACCCCCCACATTGGGCTGCCATGGTTTTCCTCCCTACTTCTACCTCTGTTTTTAGTTTAATCATATTTCTTCTTCACCATTCCCCCGAATCAAGGACGCTTCCCCATTTCATCTCTTCTTGCCATAAACACTCATGTCACTTTTATACCCCCACTTTTTTTTTAAATCTTACCTTCTTTCAATATATGTAATCAGCTGTTACGTAATATAGCCTATAATCTTTTGTGGAATATGTCAGGATATAAGTAAATATTTAATAACCATATGGTCTGTCTTGAGGAGATTCACACCTTAATAATTTTCTTTATCTAGAGAACTTCTAAATCTATCTTTAGGCCGGCCCGTGGCTCACTCGGTAGAGTGCAGTGCTGATAACACCAAGGCCACGGGTTCGGATCCTATATAGGGATGGCCGGTTTGCTCACTGGCTGAGCGTGGTGCTGACAATACCAAGCCAAGGGTTGAGATCCCCTTACTGGTCATCTTTTAAAAAAATAAAAATTAAAATTAAATAAATAAATAAATAAATAAATCTATCTGACCTCTCTCCAGAACTTTCAGGTAGCTGCCTGCTAGATCTCTCTCCATGTCCCTGTCCCATAGATAAACCAAAGTCGACAACTAAAAGGGAACTTAATCACTCCCACCAAAAGCAGACTTCTGTTATACCCGCTAATTTCACTTTCACTCATCTCTTCCCTCAAGTCCAGTTGACATATAGTAGCCAAAGGGGTCTTTTCAAATAAAAATCAGATCTATTGCTCCCTGGCTTAAAACCCACCAATACCTTCCATTTGCACTTAGAATAAAATCCAAACTCCTAACCATGGCCTGCAAAGGCCACAGAACCTGGCCCCACCTACCTCGCTAAATGTCATCTCTTAACTCTCTCTCTCTTGTTCAGGTCACATTAACCACATTGGCCTTTTTAATGTTCTTCAAACAAACCCTTTACCATCTCAGAATCTTTGCACTGTCCTTTCTGCCTGGCTGTCCTTTCCTTGGCTCATCACGTGGCTGATTCTTTGTCATCATTAAGGTCTCAACACAAACGTCACTCCCACAAAGGCCTAACTTAACCTATTAAGTAAAGTTGCTCCCAACCACCTCCTTTTTATTCCATTTCATATTTTTTCTTCATAGAATCTATCAGTATCAAAAACTGATTCCGTTTATTTACTTGCTTTTGTCTCCTCCCACTAAGCTACAAACTCAACCAGAGCAGAGACCTTATCTGTCTTATTCACAATTGTATCCCTGGAATCTAAAACAGTATTAGGAAAATAATAAGAGCACAATAAATATTCATTGAAAGACGAAAGAATAAGTAAATTTTTAAATTCTTGCTCCTCATGAATTCGTAATTTGAGTTAATAGCATCAAAATGTTAGTAGCCAATGGGAGCAATATTTGACTTCTCACTCTGTTTTCCCCTGTATGAGTCCCACTCTTGAACCTAGCTCTCTTTTCCTCCTTTTCTATTTCAGGCCATTAACCATCCCCTCAACTCCTGCAACTGTCTGGGACCTTTCACCAGTTTCTTCTCTCCCCAGTCCATCTTTAGTGTTACCGTCATGGGTAATTTCCCACAACTCAGACCATACCAACTGCTTTACATCACTTGTTTCCATACTTGTTAAATGACAATAAATATTAATAGCAACGAATGACAATATATTTATATTAGCACAATATCTATCTTATCTATCCATCATATACACACGTCAAGTATGTTTACCTGGAAAAAAACAAGTGCTGACACATAGTTGGAAGACATTTTCTGATTCCAAATTGGGAAAAGAAGAGGTCTCTTTCTTTGGCCAAGTTTTTTTCCTAACAGCTTTATTCAGGTATGACTACTTTGTGGATTATTTAAGTAATCAAGCATACATACACAAGAAACAATGTAATGACTTAAGTTCCTGGCATACTACGGGAAACCATAACCCAGCTCCAACTCACATTTCCAGCCTCATCTCTACTCTTATTCCTGTTTGCATTCTCACCACCCAGCCCATTATGTCACAGTATGTTTAACGATTTAAAAGCCACAAATCTGTTTTTGACATCAATGGGAACCTCATTTTTCAAAATGCGATATCTCATTACAGAAAGAGCCTCATCAAAACAACCACCAAACGTCTTGCACTCACACAGCAGTTCTGGGCTGAAAAGTTGTGCAAAGGAGGCCAAGCAACAGCACCTGAGCTTTAATTTGCCAAAATGCTCTAAAGCGCAGCGTCTGTGCTGGCCCACGACCGCTTCTCCAGGGATGTTCCTTGAATTCGACAGATTACCAACAAGTGATGTTTCCCGATGAAAGAAAACAATCGCAACAGTAAAGGAATAGGACCTCAGGGAGAGTATTTTGGCCGAGAGGGCCACTAAGTCCAGACAGCGACGGAGCGGCGGCAGCGCCAACTGTGACCACTGACAGAAACAAAGTTCAAACCTCCCGGCGCCTTCCGGAAGCCACTTTACCTCCGCCAAAGACAGGAAGTCCCGCCCCCCCAACGTTATAGCTACATGTTTCGAACTTTCAATTTAGATTTTCTGTAACCATTACACCACACACACATGGGTGCCCACACACATGCACACGCACATGCACAAACCTTTCAATTTGTGTTAGAAATGCAGTGTAATCTTCTAGATTCTTCTGTCCATGGAGCAAGGTGGGACTAATTCCTTGGGCTCCCATAGCAAAATAAAAGCTCAAGCAACTCACATTCTTGGCCATAGAAAGTGGGTTCTTCCCTGTTCTCAGATTCCAAATGGGTGTTGAATATAAAATAAGTGAGTTTGTGCTGATATTTAATCGTTAAGGAGGATTTAAGGAAGAATTAGAGGAAACAAAATCGTATAACTTCGTATAATGTATGCTATACGAAGTTATTACGTTTGACCGTTACCTAGTTCATAGACCTGTGTGTGAGGGGTCTGGGGACCCAGCCTGGCCTGAGAAGGGTTTGTGACTCAATCCAAGCCCTTCACAGACTGGGTCACAGACTCTTCGCACGCCAGGCCGGGTCCCCAGACCCCTCACATGCCAGATTGGGTCCCCAGACCCCGCACACGCCAGGCTGGGTCACCAGATCTCTCACACGCCAGGCTGCGTCCTGGAGACCCCTCACACGCAGGAATATGAGCTAGGTAACCGACAAACAGATCCTTGGAAAGGTAGATAGGAAAGCATGACTGCGCGCAAGTGGACACCAGAGGCGGTAAACTCCAGCCAAGCTGGCGGCGCTACACAGGCCACTAACTCCACCCGCATACAACTTGCTCGCGAAGAATGCTGCACCACCCCCAACCTGCCCTGAGTTGAGGGGGCCTGATTAAATTATTCTGTTTTCCCAACAGATGGAAAGTAGACATGTCCATTATATTTATTTATTGCCATTAAACAAGTGTTTATGGTGTTAAATAAAAATCGTAGAATGCCACTGTTTTGGACTAAGTTCCTGAACTAGGTCCCACAAGACCAGACTAACAATCTAAATGGAGCCACCCCTGCTAAGTTTCATGTCACTAAGGCTGTGGTCTGATTTTTGGAGAAGTTGGGATCTGCTGCTTAGCTCAGTTAGAGTGCACCCTTGTAATACCAAGGTCAAGTGTTTGTTCCCTGCTTAGGCCAGCCACCAAAAAAAAAAAAAAAGGACAAAGGTAACAGGCAATTTCCTGAACAGGCCAGTTTAAATCTTCAGTAGGTATGATAATAAAGTTCCCTCTAGGGCCAAGCCTGTGGCACACTGGGGAG